TACACCTGAAACTAATATCACACTACACTAATTGTACTGGAATTAAAATTTAAAAAAAAACAGTACCATTTTTAAAATTTTTTTTTTCAACGTTTATTTATTTTTGGGACAGAGAGAGAGAGACAGAGCATGAACGGGGGAGGGGCAGAGAGAGAGGGAGACACAGAATCGGAAACAGGCTCCAGGCTCTGAGCCATCAGCCCAGAGCCCGACGCGGGGCTCGAACTCACGGACCGCGAGATCGTGGCCTGGCTGAAGTCGGACGCTTAACCGACTGCGCCACCCAGGCGCCCCAAAACAGTACCATTTTTAAAAAGGGTTGATTTGTGCTTTCAAGCATAAAAAACATGTTAAAATATAACCCTTTCCAAAAGGCAGAAAAAAAAAAATCTTAAAACTTGTATCACTTGAGGGACTTTAGGCATGAATTCACAACTCTATTAAAATTAACTATAAATAAAAGGGGTCTATTGATGGAGGTCCTAATTTAAGAAATATATGATTGGCCATAGGTAGATAGTTTGTTGTCAGAACTGGGCAATGGGTATATGATGGTCTGTTATACTATTATGTCTACTTGTAGATATTTCAAATATAAAGTTAAATACGGAGCAATTTATTTAAATGATGACAAGGCACCAACATCAACTTTTCCCAATTTTTACATGTAATGAAAAGTCCAAGTCTTTCAAATCCATATATAATGACCAAATATTAGAATACTAATTTTAAAATGGTGAGGACCTTATCCAGAACCTGTATTATTACTAATACTCAAATATTTATTGAGAACCTACTGTGTTGTACATACTAGACAGGATTAGATAAATTTGACATACCTACCCTCAAAGAGCTTACAGTATAGAAGACATGACATGCATATGAATAACCATAAGACAGTGTTAAACCACTATGAAAAAGATATAGGTGATGCATGCTGGGAATTTAGAGAGTACTCAAACTCTCAGAAGCCTCACGTGCACCTGGACCAATGATAAGAAATGAGATATAATTCAATGAACACGAACGTGGTCTTTTTTTTTTTTCATTTTACTTATTTTAGAGGGAAGGAAAGGGGCAAAGGGAAAGAGAGAAAGAAAGAAAGAGACAGAGAAACAGAGAGAGAGAGAGAGAGAGAGAGAGAGAGAGAGAGAGAGAGAGAGAATATCTGAAGCAGGCTCCATACTCAGCGTGGAGCTCGATGGGGGGGCTCAATCCCACGACCCTGAGATCACGACTTGAGCCAAAATCAAGTCAGACAGACACTCAACTGACTAAGCCATCCAGGTGCCCCCAGGAACTTGTTCTTAATCATCCAAAACACCAAAACTTCATATTAAATGGGTCCAATAACTCCCATCTCCACAAGAGCTAGATAGAAATATACTCGGTGGCCTTTAATCTTATTAGCCCTTATTTGTCTGATTTGATATTAATATCTGATATTAACCTCATCTGATTTGGATTAGCTAACAATCCAGTGGCTGCTTTGACAGGAAAGGATTGCAATATATTAAATTACATAAAAATGCATTTAGCATTCACTTTGGTAAGGCACTGTGCAGTAAATTTTGTAGGGAGCATACAAAGATGATTTTAAACTGAGAGCCCTCAAAGAGCTTATACATAATCTAGTAGAAAAGACATACATACAACTATACAGCACAATAAAGCTTGTCATTTGTACATGAATCTAATTTGACCAGCCCACAAATTTGTGATTATCAACAGCGGTTATACATGCACTAAAGATAAACCTGGAACCCAGCACCAATGACTCCCCCTACAGCCTACCGAGCTTCAAGTAGTCTGTTGCCTGGTTGTAAACAGAGTCAAGTACACTGGCATGTCTCTAATACTGAATTAGCACAGTTTTCTAAATCAACCAGGCAATAGTTGATTATGAATGTAAGTCACACTTCGAAATGAATGTAAACCACATCTGTTTTATTGGTGACTTGGTGTGGCATGTCTAAGCATGTGGTGATTACCGACACCTTCTAAAACAACTGTATTAGTCTGCTGGAGCTGCCCTAGCAAAATCCCACCAGCTGGGTGGCTTAAACAACAATAATTTATCTCTTGCAGTTCTGGAAGCTGGGAAGTCCAAGATCAAGATGCCAGCAAAACAGGTTTCATTCCGAGGCCTCCTCTCTAGGTTTGTAGGCAACTGCTTTCTCCTAGCTATGTGCACAGTGGAGGGTGGGGAAGGGAGCTCTTTGGTGTCTTTTCTTAAAAGACCAGGACCCCAATCTCATGACCTTATTAGTAATCCTAATTACTCCACAAAGGGCCCCATCTCCAAATACCACACAGTGGGCAGCTGGGGCTTCAACATATTTATCTGTTGGCTATTACTGGAGATACAAATGTTCAGTCCATAACAAGAACCGGACATAAAATGGCTAAAGAAGATCACAAAGAAGGTTCTGGATGGCTCTGGGAAGAGCCCAACCCGAAAACATTTGGGGAAATGGGACACATGAGTGGCTCACTTGGTTGAGTGTCCAACTTTGGCTCAGGTCACGATCTCATGGTTCGTGGGATGGAGCCCCGTGTCGGGCTCGCTGCTGTCAGTGCAGAGCCTGCTTTCGATCCTCTTTCTCCCTCTTTCTCTGCTCCTCCCCCACTCACGCTCTCTCTCAAAAATAAAAAAAAAGCTTAAAATATGTGGGGGCACCTGGGTGGCCCAGTCAGTTAAGCATCTGATTCTTGGTTTGGGCTTGGGTTATGATCTCATGGTTGGTGAGTTCGAGCCCCATACTGGGCTCAGTGCTGTCAGTGTGGAACCTGCTGGGGATCCTCTCTCCCTCTCTCTCTGCCCTTCCCCCCGCTCTCTCTCAAAAATAAATAATAAAACATTTTTCTAAAATGGAGATGTTAAAAGGCACCTGGGTGGCTCAGTCAGTTGAGCGTCTGGCTTTGGCTCAGGTCATGATCTGATGGTTCCTGGGTTTGAGCCCCATGTCGGGCTTTGCACAGGCAGCACAAAGCCTGCTTCGGATTCTGTCTCCCCCTCTCTCTGCCCCTCCCCTGCTCTCTCTCTCAAAAATAAACATTAAAAAATGGAGGTTAAGAGCAGACTCTGGGTCCAGATAAGTCAGGTTCAAATCCTAGCATTGCTGGGTGATCTTGGATAAGTTACTTAACCTCTCTGAGCCACATAAATTTATTTTTAAATTTAAAAATATCAAATCAGTTAATATATGTAAAGAGCTTAGAACAGAAACCAGAACATACTAAACACTATACGAGTGCCTGTTATTACTAACGTGCAATTTTTGGCAAGGAAATAAAAAAAGAACAGTACTTTGCAAACCAAAAACACAACGAAGATCTTAACGTTCAAATGAAACTAACAATAGCTAGTTCTAGCAATAATAATTCACTGTATGCTGGGGCAGGCATCACACCCCAAAGCTAAAAATATCTAACTTCCTCAGCAACTGAGTAAACACAAAAGCCCCCACCATTTTTTGAGTACCTACAATAGTATACAATAAGCATACCACTTAAGGGCATGGACTCTTGAGAGAGACCTAGGCTTGAGTGGGAGTTTCTCTTTGCAACTAGTAAAATTCTTTGCAAGAAGTAAAATTACTTAACTTCTCTGAGGCTCCAAAGATTCCTCCTCTGTAAAATGGTAATAATCATGCTATTGTTACAGAGTTGTTTCAAGGAGTAAACAGGACTATGTAGGTAAACACGATGATAGCTATTATTACTATTCCCAGTCAAGGACCACGGAAAGGTTGTTTAAGCAGTCTTACAATATTTCAGTAACACCCAGAGGTAGCTAGTACCTCAGTTATACATTAGGGACACTTAAGCCCAGAAAAGGGAAGTAAGTAACCCAAGGCCACACAGCTAGTAAACAGCCCAAGCAAGCAGGATTCTAGGCCAGACTCCACGAAGAGCTCTGCCCTTTACCTTAAGCCATCGTTCCCAATATCAATAGAATCCTTCCTTTTGGGGGGCTCAAGTGGTTAATTATTCAGTCAACAAACCATTATTGAGAATTTCTTACATGCCAGGCACTGTCCTATATGCTGTGGTTATGGTGGCGATTCCTGGCCTTATAAAGCTTCTGTTTTAGTGGGAGAGACAATCAACAGGTAATCAGGTAACTGCTAAAATATAATGATGACGATGATGCAGACTGAGGCATGTAACTATTGGGAGGGGTGTTGGCCGTTTTAGCAAGCATGATCGGAAAGGCGGCGGGGGGGGGGGGGGGGGGGGGGGGGGGGGTGCAGCTTGGCTTGTTCCAGAAACAAAAAGAACCAATGAGGTTGGAGACAGGATACAGAGCCTGGTGATGGTACGAATGTCCTTGAAGGTAAGGACCAGATTCGCACTTTTTGTCCCCGCAGCATCAAAGAACGTAGGATCCGGATCGAGGCACACCTGAATTCGAGGCCTAGCTCCCTCTGGGCGGAGAGAAAATTACCTAATACCGTGTCACTATTTTCCTCGTGTGTAAAAACGCGGGCATGGTTACCGCTACCAAGGCTGCTGTGAGGGTTCAAGCAGGCAATGCGCATTCGCACGGTCATTATGGCATTTGCGGAACTAGGTGCAAGTACCAGTCCCCGCATGCCCTCCCACGTGGCCGCTCCCGTGCCTGCGCCCTCTATTACAGGGGCCCCGAGGACCTCAGCGGCATACCCCCAGTTTAGAGAAGGGCCTCTCCGGACAAAGCCCCCACCCGCGGCGTGCCGGATCCTTCCCGAACTGGCCCGCGGGCCCTCCCCGGCCGCACGAGTCCGCCAGAGCGCCATCCCCACCCTCCCCTGCCACACGCAGCCCCCCTCCCCCGGGCTGTCCCGAGGCACCCACCCCGCACCTCGCCACGCATCCCCCACGCCACCCCGTGTGACGTAAAGCCCGAGCCGGGACGCGGCGGTCGCCCCCCGCCCCTCCGGGCTTCCCCGGGCCACACCGGCCGGCGCCCGCACTGCGGGCCGCGAGGCTCAGGTGCCGCGGGCCGAGCCGCTCACCACGACGCTGGGGCTGCGGGTCGCCATAACGGAGCCGATGGGCGCGCGCGCTGAGGGCAGCCGGAGGAGGAGGAAGCCGGAGGCGCCACAGAGGAGGAGGCGGAGGCTCCGCAGAAGGCGGCGACGCGCGGGAGAGCGGAAAGAGCCGCTCGCTCGTGCACTCTAGGCCGCCGCCGCCGCCGCCGGAGCGAAGGCAAAACCGGCCCCGCCCGCCCCCGAGGCTCCGCCCACAGACCGCCCGGGCGCCTCTGCCGGCGCCTACGGGTTTCCACGCGCCGGAGGTGGGAATTTTCCTCCGGAAGGAGCGGAGACTCCTGGTGCGCAGCCTCCGTCCAGCTTTCCCTGGGTCTCCCAGCCTGAGGGCTCCTGGTTCCCCACACCTGCCTCCGCCCGGTTTCTTCCTAGTGCCCCTAAACTGGGCGCCGGCTTTTCGGCTTGCCGTCACCACGTGCTTCTGTCGCCCGGCGCCCCCTTCCCAAGACTCTGGACTGCATTGCGGATTCCGTTTTACTAATTCTACCAAACATCTTTAACTGGGTGTGAGAGTTGAGACCAAGAGCCCTAGAGTCAGCAGGTCAGGGTGCAAATCGGACGGGGGACACCTAACTGCTCTGTGACCTTGTGCAAATCAGACTGACTGGGCCTCTCTTTTCGTCTCAGTTAAATGAGGGTATTAACAGGATCGTTGTGAGAATTAGACATGGTATCCCTGTGTGTGTGTGTGTGTGTGTGTGTGTGTGTGGTACAGTACCTAGGACGTTGCATAATCAGTAAATGGGAACTGTCACCATTACTGATCTTTATTTTTGCCTCCACAAGTCCCTGTATGGAACTGGGGACAGGAATCTTACCCTACTCTCAAATAGGTCAGGTAAGCAAACAACAGTTGTTCATTCCTAGCGTTCGTACGACTCCAGAACCCACCATAGTGCCTGGCACACAGTTGGTGGCCCCTGTTAAGGCTGCCGAGAGATACGTGATGGTAAGAGATTTGTGAAACTGGTCAAGTCATTGAATTTCTCTGAGCCTCAGTCTCTTCATCTAAAAACTGAGAATAATAATTCTTGCTATGAAGGGTTATGAGAATTGTAAAGACAATTTATGTAAAGTACCTAGCATGGTACTCGCCTCATAGTAGATGCTCAAGAAATAGTAGCAGTTATAATTTTAGAATGTATGAGTGTGTGAACACCATACTGTCCAAGTTTCTCTGCCTTCCCTATCTATCATGGAAAGAAAACAGACTATAATGGAAAAGGTACATATGGCCTTTGGATTGAGAAAGATCTGAGTTTAAATCCCAAGTTTATACCTTGGGCAGAATCCTTGACCTCAGTGTGCCTCAGTTTCCTTATATGTCAAATGAGGCTAATATCTCCATCACAGGGCATGGCAAGGATTAAACAAAATAACGCAAGAGTGCATAGCATAGCCCTTGCTCCAAAAAAAGTTCAGGGGCCCCTGGGTAGCTCAGTCCATAACCATCGGACTTTGGCTCAGGTCACGGCTCAGGTCATGATCTCATGGTTTGTGAGTTCGAGCCCAGTGTCAGGCTCTGTGCGGACAGCCTGGAGCCTGCTTCCGATTCAGTGTCTCCCTCTCTCTCTGC